TTTTGTTTTAATCTAACTAATCCTTGTTTTACTTTTCTTTTCTCATTTATGTATCTAAAAAATGTTTTGTCCCCCTTTTTTACTGACTGTGCTATTTTCTCTTCTGTGTGTGATTTGGAAGCTCTTATAACTTGCTTAGCCTCTTTCTGCTTAATCTTATAGATCATTTTGTCTTCCTCACTCTGGGTTTTTTATAATTCCTAAATGCTAACTTTTTGTTTTTAACTATTTTGGCCACATCTGCGGAGTACCACAGTGGTTTCTTGAATTTTTTGTTTTTACTGACAAGCCTAATGCAATTTTCTGTTGCCTTCAATAGTGCAACTTTTAAATAATCCCATTTTTCTTGGACTCCATTTAAATTGCTCCAGTCTGATAATGACTCCTCTACCCATATTCTAATTTAAGAAAAGTCTGTTTTTCTAAAGTCTAAAACTTTTGTTTTTGTGTGGTGTGACTCAGTCACTGTTCTTATATTAAACCACACTGACTGATGATCACTGGATCCTAAAATTTCACCTACAGTAACATCTGATACCAAATTTCCATTTGTTAACACTAAATCTAGTATGGCCTCTTTACGAGTTGGCTCCTCAACAACTTGTTTTAGAGACAATCCCAGAAGGGAGTTTAGAATATGTGTGCTCCTGGCACAAGTAGCTAATTTTGTTTTCCAATTTACATCAGGAAGATTAAAGTCACCCATGATGATAACTTCCCCTTTCATTGTCATTTTAGCTATTTCCTCAACTAGTAGATTATCTAACTCTTCAATTTGTCCTGGGAGCCTATAAATCACACCTACACGAGTTACTGTGTGATTACCAAATTCTAACGTAGCCCAAACGGACTCTATGTTTGCCTCACTAACTTTTATTAGGCTAGATTTTATGCTATCCTTCATATACAAGGCCACCCCTCCCCCTTTCTTGCCTTCCCTATCTTTCCTATATAAAGAGTACCCTGGTATTGCTATGTCCCAGTCATTTTTCTCATTGTACCATGTCTCAGTAACAGCGACTAAATCTACACTATCAGTTGCCATTATTGCCACAAGTTCATGGATCTTATTCCCTAAACTGTGAGCATTTGTAGACATGACTCTAAGCTTATCATTTTTAACACACTTGCTACAGGCACCTTCTGTCCTTGTTTTGGGGGACAATTGGATTGATGTTTTATCACCCCTTTGCCCCCCCCCCTCCTAGTTTAAATACATCCTAGCAAAACCTCTGAACTGCTCACTGAGAACATTTGTTCCCTTTTGAGAAAGATGCAAACCATCTTTTTTGTACAGCTTATTTCCATTCCAAACAGAGCTACCATGAGAAATAAAGCCAAATCCTTGCTCCCGACACCATTCACCAAGCCACAAATTAAAGTCCCTCATACGCATCCGCCTGTCGTTCTGAGTGTTATGCACAGGCAGAACTTCAGAGAATGACAGTGTGGAAGCAACCTGCCGTATATCATTGGCAAAACACTAAAAACTTCCTTAACCTCTGAAACCTCATTGCAAGCCAAGTCATTTGTCCCTAGATGGACAAGTACATCCAATTCCCCTTCCTGCTTTGCTTGCTTAACAATATTACAGATACGTCTCCTGTCTCTGTGAGCAGTAGCTCCGGGAAGACACCTCACAAGACCACCATTGTCCATCTCCACACCTCTTATAATGGAATCCCCAACAACAACTGCTTTCTATTAGGCCTCACCATAGTCTCCAAGCCGGTCTCCACAACACCACTAGTCTCAGTGCCTCTCTCCACAACACCACTAGTCTCAGTGCCTCTCTCCACAACACCACTAGCCTCAGTCCCTCTCTCCACAATACCACTAGCCTCAGTGCCTCTCTCCACAACACCACTAGCCTCAGTGCCTCTTTCCACAACACCACTAGTCTCAGTGCCTCTCTCCACAACACCACTAGCCTCAGTGCCTCTCTCCACAACACCACTAGCCTCAGTGCCTCTCTCCACAACACCACTAGCCTCAGTGCCTCTCTCCACAACACCGCTAGCCTCAGTGCTTCTCTCCATAACACCACTAGCCTCAGTGCCTCTCTCCACAACACCACTAGCCACAGTGTAACATTCAGAAGTCCCTTTAAAGAACTATGATATTTACTATCATACGTCAGTGTAACTGAGCTCAGGAAACAGACTTTTTTTTTTCCTATAGTTCGTGCTGAAAAAAAATACTGCTCTAGGGATAATAGCAATAATGTCTGTAAATTAATACTGGACAGATATATTTGTAACATTGCCTTTTTTTCGTTTCAAATCGTTTTTCTGAATATAATCAACATTTAGTGGCTGTTCTCTAATCATTAATTATTTTTATTTTTGGAGTATAGATATCGAGGGATAATAGTATGGAGCTGTTTTTCAGGGGTTGGGCTAGGCCCCTTACTTCCAATGAAGGGACATCTTAATGCTTCAGCATATCAAGGCATTTTGGACAATGCTCTGCTTCCAACTTTATGGGAACTGTTTGGGGAGGCCCTTTCCTATTCCAGCATGACTGTGCCCCATTGCACAAAGCAAGGTCCATAAAGACACGATTCAATGAGTTTGGTGTGTAAAAAATTGACTGACCCGCACAGAGCCTTCACCTCAACCCCATTGAACACCTTTGGGATGGACTGGAACAGAGATTGTGAGCATTAGGATGGGGTAATCATTTCACTTTTTCACTGTTCATAAAGACATGACATATTTTTATCAGTATTTGGACATCTGTATGTCTGCACTAAGACATCTAAAATATCTACTTCAATACTTTGTATATATATATATATATATATATATATATATATATATATACATATATATATATATATATATATACATAAACGCACACAAACTATGGTCTTTCCCTTTCTTTAAGTGTTACGCTACACATAATGTTTGTCTTAAAAAAAAATCAGGTCTTTACAGACACTATAATGGGACAGTTGTCGAAGTGAAGATACTCCAGAGGTCCAGAGTGTTTCAAAGAACATTCTAAGCAAATTCCATCAATTTAATTATTAACTAGAGTAGATAATATTTAAATGTGTATCTCTCCTCTACAATCAACGGCTTAATAGTAGCAAATTAAAATGTTTTTATGGGGTTAATAGAAGTACGACTTTTTTCTTTGCAATCTGGAGGTGATTACATTTTTTATTTGTGCTATTCAGTATTTGGTTTAGAACGTGACATATAAGCAATATGATGACTCTTACTCCTATAATTGAATACCAGGAAATAACCAGTCACAGATTATTAACTCACACTCCTTTCTATAGATTTAGCACATTATATATCACTTTAGATGGACAGACAATTATATAATTGGTAGGGGTTTAATAGGGGACGTTTCTGTAAATAATTTATGGCTCAGTGATTTCTGTTGAGTTCTAAGGTGATTGCTCATGTCAAATAGAATAGAAACACATTAATCAAACCCCTATTGCTTTACATTGTATTACTAACTGCGTATGCATGTTAAGTGTGATGTAAACCATATAAAAAAAAGTAATGTTAAATCTCTATGTGGGTTTTTGGTGGCAAGATCATGTATCTAACCTGGGCTCTTAGATTCTCAGCCATCTGGGGTGTCATGCAAGGGTTTTGCAAGTTTATAATTTTGTAAAATGCTTTAAACTCAACTGCCACTTTAAAGATTTTTACACAATCTGTTAAAGGAACACTGTAGTCACCAGAACAACTACAGCTTATTGTATTTGTTGTGGTGAGTATAATCATTCCTATCAGGCTTATTGCAGTGAACACTGTCTTTTCAGAGAAAATGCAGTGTTTACATTAAAGCCTTGGTATACCTCCACTGGCCACTCGTCAGATGGCTATTAAAGGTGCTTCCTGGGGCAGTTATGCACACTGTACAGCACTGCCATTCAGTGTCTCCACCCTCTGTATGCAGACACTAAACTTTCGTCATAGATATACATTGATTTAATGTATCTCTATGAGGAGATGCTGATTGGCCAGGGCTGTGTTTGACTTGTGCTGGCTCTGCTCCTGATCTGCCTCTTTGCCAATCCTATTGGAAAGCATTGTTATTGGCTCAGATAATCACGTCTGATTATGTCAGCCAAGCAGGCAGACAGGGGCAGAGCCAGTTGCAGCAGACTGGAGTAGAAACATAGAAACATAGAATGTGACAGCAGATAAGAACCATTTGGCCTATCTAGTCTGCCCAATTTTCTAAATACTTTCATTAGTCCCTGGCCTTATCTTATAGTTAGGATAGCCTTATGACTATCCCACGCATGCTTAAACTCCTTTACTGTGTTAATCTCTACCACTTCAGCTGGAAGGCTATTCCATGCATCCACTACCCTCTCAGTAAAGTAATACTTCCTGATATTATTTTTAAACCTTTGTCCCTCTAATTTAAGACTGTGTCCTCTTGTTGTGGTAGTTTTTCTTCTTTTAAATATAGTCTCCTCCTTTACTGTGTTGATTCCCTTTATGTATTTAAATGTTTCTATCATACCCCCCCTGTCTTGTCTTTCCTCCAAGCTATACATGTTAAGATCCTTTAACCTTTCCTGGTAAGTTTCCCGCAATCCATGAACCAGTTTAGTAGCCCTTCTCTGAACTCTCTCTAAGGTATCAATATCCTTCTGAAGATACGGTCTCCAGTACTGTGTACAATACTCCAAGTGAGATCTCACCAGTGTTCTGTACAATGTAAGCAGGGCCGGATTAACATAGGGGCTGATGGAGCTGCAGCTCCAGGCCCAGGCCCATGGAATAGGCCCATTGATTTAAAAAAAAAAATATATATTTTTTTTTTTACATTTTTTTTTCACATTTTTTTTTTCACACACTACTCTTAGGGATTCCACCTGGCTTTTATTTTATTGACACAGCCAGTATTTGAGGCTGCCTGGCTGGTGCCAATATTGCAGTGATACTGGCAATACAAATGCAGGTATTTTTCTCAGTATAAACAGAGATTACTCTGCAATACCAGCACTGGCCAGTAAAGGGTCACTGTGTGTGGAGACAGGCAGGGATAGGAAGTTCCAGCATATCCCTCCCTGCCTATCTATACTCACTGATCTGCAGGGGTGCAGCTACAGAGAGTCCAGACAGCAACTCCCACCCTGCAGAGACAGCCTACAGCTCAAGGAAGTAAGGGATGGGGGAAAGGCTGCAAGGAGACATACACTGAGACACTAAGGGACATTGGGAGACATTATGACAGACACATGGGGACACAGTGTCCCCATGTCTCCCAGCCAGTGTCCCTGGTGTCTCAGTGCCCCCTCGTCTCCCAGTGACCCCTAGTCTCCCAGTGACCCCTAGTCTCCCAGTGCCCCCAGTCTGCCAGTGCCCCCAGTCTGCCAGTGTCTCACTGTCCCCATGTCTCATAGTGCCTCCATGTCTCTCAGTGCCTCAAGTGTCACAATGTCCCCATGTCTCCAAGCTAGTGTCCATAGTGTCTGTGGCCCTGGTGTCTCAGTGTACCCATGTCTCCCAGTGCCTCCATGTCTCAATGTCCCCATGTCCCCCAGCCAGTGTCTCTAGTGTCTGTGTCCCCATGTCTTCAAGTGTCCCCTATTTTCCCATTGTCCCCATGTGTCCCAGCCAGAGTCCCCTAGTCTCTCAGTGTCGCTGGTGTCTCCGTGTCCCTAGGTCTCCCCGTGTCCCCAGGTCTCCCTGTCTTCCTAGTGTCCTAGTGACATGGGGACACAGGGAGACATGGGGCATTGAGACACTGTGATACATAGGAACACTGAGACCTGGAGTAATCGACACATGGGGGCACTGAGTCATGAGGGCACTGGGAGGAATCCATCTATACAGCAGAATCAAACTAAGTAGTTTTTGGTGATTTTACAGCATTTTCTCTTATGTCACTCCTTGTGATTTACATCATGTGATGTCACCCATACATATTTAATTATGCAAATTAGTAAGGCCCGTATGTTTTTCCAAGAAAGGTGGCAACCCTAACTACTTTTCACATACTCTTACTTAAGTATGGAAACTTAAGAGGGATGTATGGGAACCAAACTTGTATGGACTGGCCGACAATGAATATAGTTAAAGGGACACTATAGTCACCAGAACAACAACAACAGCTTATTGAATTTGTTCTGGTGAGTAGAATGTATGTGTATGTGGTGAGTAGAATCAGTACCGTCAGGCTTTTTGCTGTAAACACGGTCTTTTCAGAGAAAATGCAGTGTTTACATTACAGCCTAGTGATTACTTCACTGGCCACTCAGATGGCTGTTAGAGATCCTTCCTGGGTCATGGCTGCCTAACATGCATCCAAACATTCAGTATCTCCTCCCTCTGCATGCAGACACTGAACTTTCCTCATAGAGATTGATTTATTCAATTCATCTCTATAAGGAGATGTTGATTGGCCAGGGCTGTGTTTGAATCATGCTGGCTCTGACCCTGATCTGCCTCTTTGTCAGTGTTAGCCAATCCTATGGGGAAGCACTGTGATTGGATCAGGGCACCACTTCTAATGATGTCAGCAGACTGCTTGTTTTTATGAGTCTAACAGCATGCAGAGTTACAGCTTCAGGCTTGAATATAGTAAGATTTTGCTATATTTATGGAGGCATGAGGGGCCCAGGGGGGCTAGATGGTGGTGTTAACATTATAGGGTCATGAATTCATGTTTGTGTTCCTGACAGGTAATGCTGACTTTGGTCTCTCTAACACTGTGGCATGTCCCATTTCTTCTACACTCACTACATACAGCTTTTCTCTGTCCCAGACTATATACCAGGAGCTTCTGCCTGCTAGTAAGAAGGTAAGAAGAACAGTAGACCAGCAAGTGCTAGGAAACAGTCCTTAGAAAGCATTGAGTGAGCGCATAATTAGATGCATTTATGCCAAGCTCAGGGTGCTTTCTGCATAGTATGCCCTTAGTTGGCCAGCTGCATGATTGGCAGGCATCCTGACATGCATTCATGCCAGACTGGCCTTCTAATTCTTTGGGCAGACATTCCCTCTTTTTGGGCATGTTCGCCCCTTTTGGCAGGTCACGTGATTTGTGTCAGTGGCACACCCTTTTACCGTGCCCATTGACTTCCTGCTTGACTGGACACTGCTGTTAAGGGTTATGGATTTACTTGAAAGATGAAAACATAAATTAGAGGGAGATTAGCATAAGGTATGTGTTTTCTTATAGCTGCTGTTTTCTTTCTCTCCAGCACCATCTCCATCAGATACATGACGCTTGGGAGTGTTTTATTGTTTTTGGTCGATATGATTCTGTAATTAGGCCCGTCATAATTGTCAGCATCAGGCCCACTGGGCTCTTAATCTGGCCCTGAATGTAAGGTAAGGTGCTACTATATTTAGGGGGGGCAAGGGGGTCCAGAGGGGCTAGATGGGGTTTTTAACACCATAGGATCAGGAATATATGTTTGTATTTCTGACCCTATAGTGTTCCTTTATGTAACTAAAATGTATCTATAGGTTAGTTTTTTTTAATTATTATTTTTATTTAATTAAAGGGACACTATAGTCACCTGAACAACTTTAGCTTAAAGGACCACTATAGTGCCAGGAAAACATACTCGTTTTCCTGGCACTATAGTGCCCTGAGGGTGCCCCCACCCTCAGGGTCCCACTCCCGCCCGGCTCTGGAAGGGGGAAAGGGGTAAAAACTTACCTTTTTCCAGCGCTGGGCGGGGAGCTCTCCTCCTCCGATCCTTCTCTTCTCCTCCTATGTGGCTGAATGCACACGCACGGCAAGAGCTGCGCGCGCATTCAGCCGCTCACATAGGAAAGCATTATCAATGCTTTCCTATGGACGCTTGTGTGCTCTCACTGTGATTTTCACAGTGAGAAGCACGCAAGCGCCTCTAGCGGCTGTCAATGAGACAGCCGCTAGAGGAATTGGCGGAAGGCTTAACCTATTCATAAACATAGCAGTTTCTCTGAAACTGCTATGTTTATAAAAGAATGGGTTAAGCCTAGCTGGACCTGGCACCCAGACCACTTCATTAAGCTGAAGTGGTCTGGGTGCCTAGAGTGGTCCTTTAATGAAGCAGTTTTGGTGTATAGAACATGCTCCTGCAGCCTCACTGCTCAATCCTCTGCCATTTAGGAGTTAAATCCCTTTGTTTATGAACCCTTGTCACACCTCCCTGCATGTGACTTGCACAGACTTCCATAAACACTTCCTGTAAAGAGAGCCCTATTTAGGCTTTCTTTATTGCAAGTTCTGTTTAATTAAGATTTTCTTATCTCCTGCTATGTTAATAGCTTGCTAGACCCCGCAAGAGCCTCCTGTATGTGTTTAAAGTTCAATTTAGAGATTGAGATACAATTATTTAAGGTAAATTACATCTGTTTGAAAGTGAAACCAGTTTTTTTTTTTTTTTTTATACAGGCTCTGTCAATCATAGCCAGGGGAGGTATGGGTAGGGCTGCATAAACAGAAACAAAGTGATTTAACTCCTAAATGACAGTGAATTGAGCAGTGAAATTGCAGGGGAATGATCTATACACTAAAACTGCTTTATTTAGCTAAAGTAATTTAGGTGACTATAGTGTTCCTTTAATGATTTAAAAAATAAAAAAAGACATTTAATTTGCGTTTTATTCTGTGAAGTCCTGGCACAGCCAGCACATGACATTCAAATTAATATACCTCCAAAGCACTGTATGTGTCTGCATACCCATGTATACAGGAGTATTCAGGAGGCCCGAGAGCATATTTAATTGTCGTTGTCCAAGCCTGCATGTACTCTTGCTCAAATCACACACTCAGTCTCTTTACTGATTAGAATGAGCTCTAACCAGAACTAAAAATATGAAGATTAATATTTAATCAGCATTCCTTTTATTATGATTAGAAACACATCTGTAAAGATAATTCTGTCTAAAGTAATTGTGAATCCTAGTTTAAAGTGACACTTCAGGCACTTAATGCACTTCAATTTTATGTGTGAAGAGTGTGTCAATAGAAATTAACACTTTTATAAATTAACCTGGTTACACCGCTTGGCTATCAGACAACAGGTCCTGTTACTTCCTGGTTTGGTTAGCTCCGTTGAGCTAAACTCAAGAGGCAGCAATTGCTCAAAGCACCTGCCATGCAAAGACTTCTCACTGAGCTGCATTGGGAAGTCTGTGATTGGACAGCCACAGAAAGTCTTACCGGGGCTAAAAGGGAAGGGTTTGCAAAGGCTTCAGACAAGAGATATGTTGCTTTTGCAAGCTGTTTTTAAATATACACCTTTTGAAAAATGCATAATTAGTTGCACACATTTTTCATACAGGGCATATCTACTAAATAGTGATATATATTAACCCCTTAAGGACACATGACATGTGGGACATGTCATGATTCCCTTTTATTCCAGAAGTTTGGTCCTTAAAGGACAACTAAAGTGCCAGAAAAACATACTCGTTTTCCTGGCACTATAGTGCCCTGGGGGTGCCCCCACCCTCAGGGTCCCCCTCCCGCCGAGCTGGATGGAGAGGAAGGGGTTAAACTTACCTTTTTCTCCAGCGCCGGGCGGGGGACTCTCCTCCTCCTCTCCGTCTCCTCTCCTCCTCCTCGGCTGAATGCGCATGCGCGGCAAAAGCTGCGCGCGCATTCAGCCAGTCTCATGGGAAAGCATTCATAATGCTTTCCTATTGACGCTGGCGTGTGAGAAGCACGTAAGCGCCTCTAGCGGCTGTCAATGAGACAGCCACTAGAGGCTGGATTAACCCATTTTTAAACATAGCAGTTTCTCTGAAACTGCTATGTTTATAGAAAAAAGGGTTAAACCTAGCTGGACCTGGCACCCAGACCACTTCATTAAGCTGCCCAGATGTCTAAACAGTGACCAGATGAATTCCTGCAAAAGCATAATATTCAGGGCTTTCATTTTGAATATGTGGGGTAACAGTTTCTTGATCCAAGTAAAGATCTAACTGCCATTTTGGGGTCAAGAAGGAATTGTTTCCTAGTTGGTTGCAAAATTGAAAGCGTTTTAAACTGGATGTTTCGACTTCTTTTGGATCAACAGCAAAAGCAGATGTGAGAATGGCTGAACTTGATGGACACAAGTCTCTTTTCAGCGATGTAACTATGTAACAGGAAATAAATTCCTTCTCTAAGATGAATGGAAAGTGTAAGATTTCCTACAAGAGATACTATGCAGCTAGTGGCATTACTGGGGGGGGAGGGGGGTAGGAGGGTATGGAGCGGTCTGCCTCAGGTGGCACTTTCTTGGGGGGGGCACTACAGTTAGAGTCTCTAGAGTCGGTGGGCCGGACCTGTGTCTCACGAGGCCGGCGCTCCTCATCATCATCAGTGGAGGAACTGGTAGGGAGTCACCAAGTTCCCAGGCAGTCACTTTACTTACCCTGCCGCTGCAGGCTGTTAAGGAAATTGGGGCCTTGTGGGTCCTGTAGGTGCAGCTCCATGGGGAGAGCAGTCATAGACTAGTGTCACATGAGTTGCCCCTGCAAATACAGAATGACTACCTCTTCCAGCTGGGCTTCAGAGACCTGTGCAGTGTGCAAGAGAAGGGCATGGATCCTGGACTAGGCTGTCTCATCAGCTTATATGCAGGTTATAGGCACATGGACACCATACTGAACAGGAGCTGGTCAGGCTGTTGGTTGGGGACTTTTATTGCAATGTTTCCTTGCCAAATATTACTGCAGATGCAACTATTATCCGTCGCTGTTAGAGGCCAACATTGTAAGTTTTATGTAAGCAGCACATGGATATATATGGACACCTACTGGGGCAAGGGTTAATGTGTTTTTACAGGAGTAAGTAAACTTGGTACCCCAAATATTCCAGGAGTACTATTACAATAGGAGCAGCATTTTATATATTGACAATATAGTTCAATACAGGTTTTGTGCATTATGTAAACTGATGTAAGTTAGGACAGTTGTTAGAAGTAATAGGTATTTGGTACCCCATATGTGGCAGGGCATCATTTTAAATGTTAACCAAGCAGAACATGCAGTGCCAGAGGTTAGCCATCAGTAGCTTCTGAAAATAGGTCATACCTCAGTGTGATGAGGAGGATTGTGTTTGTTCCAGCATTGAAGAATAACAGGTTGCTGATATGACAAGTTCATTACAAATGCAATATTAATATCCTAATCTAAACTGTAGTTCTTTGGTGTAATGTGACAAATAGGAGTTTACTTTATTTCTTCAGGGCAGTAAAACTAAACAGCACAGTAGCTTCAACAGCTGGCAATCATATTTACTTTTAATTTTAACTGGTACTTGCCTAAATTTGTTAAAATGTGGCTTATGTTAAAACTGACTGTCAAGCAGCTGTTTGTGTTTTGCACACTCTTTAGTTGAAGCATCACGTACACTATCCTCAGTACCACATTCTACAAAAATTATTTATAGAGGCAAATACTTGAGAAAGTAGGAACTAGGGATTTTAATATAAAGCAGACAAATTGAGGAGCTCACCTTTGTACTTGAAAATGGGAAATAGTTTTTAAGCCATCTGGCCCAACATAATCTGTACAAACTGTCGTAGACCTAGCATACAAATGATTTTGCATCCCTCATGAGACACAAAGGCCTGCACTAACATAAGACAGCACAGGCGGCTGCTGCCTTAGGGTGCACCGGCCCTAGGGGCATAATACCCAAGTCCATGAGGAGGGAAGCGCCCAGCCTTCTCTCCTGCTGGTCAATTCATGAAGTGAATAGAGCATGCCGCAGTCTGTGTGGATGGGATGAGGATATAGATCATGTCATATCCCTGCTCCCTGTATTCCTCACAGAGTGGATGGCGCGGCAGCGACTTAGTGATGAGGCTGAATTATTTTTTAGAGGGGCGGCAAACTCAGGGATCTGCCCAGGCAGCAAAATCTCTTTCTACGCCACTGTAGGTAGCAAAAAAGAGACCAAGAAAAAAGGGGAACTGGGTCACACCCAGAACTTGCTCTTCTCAACTATGGTGCCACAGTAAACACCAAAATGTATACAAAATACAGATCAAGGAACAGTGCGCACTAAAATACTAATTTTACAAGGCTACTTAAAAGAAAGAGACCAAGGCTTTCCAATGCACAAAATAGTTGTGATAGCCTCAGCTAAATGTGAAGTGCTATATATAATATTGCTTCTTAGAACGGTATTTGAAAAGTTTTACACGTTATTTGTAACTCTTTGTTTTCATATTTATTTTTATTTCTACAATGATTTTTTACCATCACATGGTCCTTTCTCTCTCCTTTACATATTCTCTTTTGATGAATTCAAATGATCAAAAATTACAAATACAACATAAACATTCATGAATAACGCTAGATTAAAAAACATTAGGAGCATAACGTAAAAGAACACTGCACAGCATTTAGCAGCTAGCATATATAGTCTTAATATATATATATATATAATTATATATTTAAGTTCTAACTGTAGTTGCCATGGCAATGGACAGAAACACATTGTCAAAGCAGCATGTATCGAAACCCCACGCTAAGCATCATTAAACATAGCTCAGAAATCAAAGTACCTTAATCTGTTCAGCTTGGAGGAGAGAAGGTGGGAGGTGGGAATGTGTGTAGAGGAGAATAACATTTAAAATATGTTGAGGGATACATTATAATCTAAGGGGCTGCCTATTTGAGAGAAAAGAGGAACAAGAAGCTATATAAAGGTTGAACTAAACATGAAAGGTCGTAGAACAGACACAGGGGAGGAAAGTCTATAAAATGTTTCTTTATCTAAACGGTAATGGATAGATTTGCTTTTGAGTGCCTGTAGCAGGGGTAGGCAACCTTCAGCACTCCAGATGTTGTGGACTACATCTCGCCTGATGCTTTGCCAGCATTATGGCTCTTAGAGCACTATGGGAAATGTAGTCCACAACATCTGGAGTGCTGAATGCCTCCCCTTGCTTTATAGCATAACATGGACATACCAAAATAGAAGATAGAGATTTCAATAGATATTAAAAAGGTCATGGGATAAATGGAGGTAGACATTTATTATGTATAATTCTAGGGCAGGAATCTCTAACTCCGACCCCCCAGATATTGATGACGTATAACTCCTAGAATTCTTTGAATATAATAGAGGGCCAGAGAATCATGGAGTCGTAGTTCAGAAATCTGTATCGGTTGGCATAGTTTGAGACTTCATGAATCTGTTTGGATACCGCTAGGACAGTACCAAAGAAGCACGTAACATGGAGGGATATTAACCACAGTTGACCAAGAAGGGGGTATATCTGTGACTTGATACATCTGTTATAAGTGATTCCTGGCAGAAGTATTATATGTAATTGTGCTGAAGATTTGTCCTTGGCCCTTTCTATATTCTCTTTATATTGCCTCTCTTGGAAAACGTATTACCTCATTTGAATTCCACTACCATTCGCTGATGATACCCAGATATATCTCTCCTCCCCAGACCTCTTCCCTGCCATCCTGCAACGTGTCAATGCTAGTCTTTCTTCCATCTCTGACTGGATGTCCTCCTGCTTTCTGAAACGAAATCTCTCTAAAACTGAGCTCCTTGTCTTTCCTCCTCCTAATACCGATCCTCCTTTTTCACTCTCCCTTCAAGTTAGTGGTATCCACATCAGTCCATTCTTGCAAGCGTTCTGTCTCGGTGTCATTCTTGATTCTGGCCTCACCTTTGAGCCTCACATCCAGCATGTTACCAAGACCTATAGATTCCATCTTAAACACATAGCCCACATTCGCCCCCTTCTTATACAAGATGCTGCTAAGGAGCTTGTCCATGCTCTAGTAATTTCCTGCATGGATTATTGTAACTCTCTCCTAATTGGTCTTTCCAAAAATCTTATTGTCCCGCTACAGTCTGTAATAAATGCTGCCGCCAGACTGATTTTCCTCTCTAGTCGTTCCTCTCACACCCAGGGACGTATTAGCCATGAGGCAAACAAGGCATTTGCCTTGGGCTGCTGGGCGGGCAGCCGACCCCAAATGCCCAGGGCAAATGTCTTGTTAGCCTGGCGGCTAACAAACAATCCAGGTGGGCGGCGCTGGCGAGGGAGCACTGATTAGTGAGCTCTCTGCTCAGCTCCCTCGTGCGCCGCAGAGTGATGCCGGTCACCTGGAGCCGTAATATGATGTCATATTCTGGCTCCCGGCATCACTGTGTGGCGCGCGAGGGAGCTGGGCATGATCTATGTGTGGTTGAGAAAGAGAACGGCAAGGAGGCGAGAATTCTTTCCTTAGCTGTTCAATCTTGTCGGTAAAGTAACATGCAAAGCTATCGGCAGTAATGTTAGTTTGGGGGGTGGCCGCAACAGGGCGAAGAAGAGAATTAAAGGTGTCAAAGAGACGCCTGGGATTGTGGGAGCATGAACTAATGAGAGAGGAAAAGTAGGCTGTTTGGCGAGGGCAAGGGCTGCGCTATATGAACACAATATGAATCTATAATGGAGAAAGTCTGACTGGGTGACTGTTAATGCCTGGCCAACACTAAGAGGGTAAAGGTCCTGTTATGCAATCTGGATTATAGTGTGATTGGACTAACAACAAGTTGCAGAACTATCACTGTCGCAGCTGTGACCGGGCCTGTCACTCCAGGGGGCCCTGCCGCCCTGTCCCCTCCAAAGGTGGAGGGCCCCAAGAGGAAAGTAACCTCACCACTGGTTTTTGGATGGATCTGTTTGCCAGCCTCCTACACTGTGACTATGGTCCCTGTGTTAAACCCTGGTTTAAAACACTATTTGTGCCTATTGTGACTTATAACAGGAACAATTCGAACTTTGAAGCGGCACTTCGAATTACCGAACAACCGCATGAACCAGAGACCACCCTGGAACTTGTTAACATCTATTAACAACTTGGGACGTTTCTCACCGCAGTGTTCTAATTGTTCATCTGGGTGACCGCAACTCCTATGGACAACCACGAGGTGGCGGCCATCTTGTTCGCATGAACGCAGGCAGCAGTGTTTGGGCATGAATCTCCTGAAACTAAAATCAGATACAGAAACTTCGAACACCGATGTCCCTTCGTGCTGGGTCACGGCTTCTCCTCCTCTGACAGGAGGATGCACATGCGCTGCAAATGTTGCGGGCGTGTTAGACCTCCCCAAAGAAAAGCCTTGAATCAATGCTTTCCTATGGGGAAAAACCTGATGCTGGACATCCTCATGCACAGCATGAGGACATCCAGTGTCAGTTACCGGACCGTTTGGATCCAGGAAGCATCTCCAGTGGCTGTCTGGGAGACAGTCACTGGAGGCAGACTTAGTACTGCAATGTAAAGTCATTCTCTGAAAAGGCCAGCAGGGACATACTACACTCACCAGAACAACTACATTAAGCTGTAGTTGTTCTGGTGATTATAGTGTCCCCTGAACATTTTGCCAACAAATTAAATCCTCCAGGCTTATCTGTTCTGTCTATTTCAAACACCACAAGGTAGGTTGTCTCTGCCTCTTCCCCTCTGTTAGTTTCTACCACCTGTAACAAAAGTTTGTTCATGCATTTACAACTCTTGCTTTGCCATCATTTTCAACAAGTGCTTTGTTACATTGTTTTACTTACATTGACATCTGTAGAATAGAACCTAAAATGTACTTTGCATCATTAAATTTGTATTCAATGTAAATTTGGTCTGTTATTTTGAACCCTAAATGCAAAGAAATGAATTTCTTGATATTAACATTTACATATGGCAAGCTCAACTACTTCTCAAGTTTCCATAAATCATTATTCATTCATTTATCTCCCTTTGGTACATCTACACTGCATTAAATCTTCATAGAATTTGAAAAAAAAATACTTTGAAAGAGCAATAGCACTAATGAATATCCTAAAATGGCTGGTTCGGGGCCAATTCCTGCAGATTACGAACATCAGCAGTAAAAAATCTGTAGTCTGAAAGTCTCTCTCTGAAAACATCTTTAGATTCTCTAAATGGTGTGGGAGGACAAGACATGTAGGTTCCAACTCAAAAACATAGCCCGCATTCGCCCCTTTCTTACGCAAGATGCTACCAAGGAGCTTGTCCATGCTCTAGTAATTTCCCGCATGGATTACTGTAACCCTCTCCTGATTGGTCTTCCCAAAAGCCGTATTGCCCTGCTACAGTCTGTAATGAATGCTGCGGCTAGACTGATTTTCCTCTCTAGTCGGTCCTCTCACACCTCACCCCTCTGCCGGTCCTTACATTGGCTCCCTGTATGCTATAGGAGTCAATTCAAAGTGCTAACCCATACATTTAAAGCACTGAACAGTTCTAGCCCCGCTTATATCTCTTCACTGATCCATAAATATGCCCCTCCACGTACCCTCCGCTCTGCCCGTGACCACCTCCTGACCGCTGCTCGCACCCGTACGGCCAACTCGCGCTTGCAGGACCTCTCGCGGGCGGCTCCTCTCCTATGGAATAGCTTGCCTACTGCCATCAGACTCTCCCCTAGTCTTCAATCATTTAAGAAGGGCCTTAAAACCCATCTCTTCAGGAAAGCTTATGGCCTCCCAGAGTAATCTCTACCTTACATACCTGCCTCCTGCTCTCTCCTATGGGACAGTGCTTTGCTCTCTCCTCCAGCTCTGCTTCACTCCTACTTGATATTTATTGTTCTAATGTTTCAAACACCCCACCTCCAATAGTCTGTAAGCTCGTTTGAGCAGGGTCCTCTTCAACCTATTGTTCCTGTAAGTTTTCTTGTAATTGTCCTATTTATTGTTACACCCCCCCTCTCAAAATATTGTAAAGCGCTACGGAATCCGTTGGCGCTATATAAATGGCAATAATAATAATAATAACATGTACGGAAAGTGGGGAAATTAATACGTACACGTGCACATATCTCCTACAAAATACATGTGCACATTTAACATGCTTCCTATAAGACACATTAGAAAAATCTTATACAGCAAAGTTGAGGAAAAATGCAAGGTTATCAAAATCTTCTTCTGAAAAATACTTTAGGGGAAATATATATGTGATTCATTGCCATTAATGTCATATAATATTTAAAGCATAACCGCTCTTTCTACAAGATGTATTGATGATCAATCACTGTCTTTAAAGCAGTTTGTAATTTAATAAAGGATTGTGGAAATGTTATAGTACTTTATAAGCAAAAGACAATAATAATAGCAATGGCGGTGGTCTTAGAACATAGATTTTTAGCTGCAAGCTCAGCTCAATGGTTTTGAATGAGTAACAGTAAGCGATGGTTTACTGATAATATTACAAGATGTTTCAAACTTTTTATGAGACAGTGATGGACTAAATTGGTTAGTATCATACCATGTTAATACATGGACAGGTACAAATCCATTTCTTCACTGTCACCGCAGGATAGGGGTTTAAGGGCTAGATCCTTAGTTGGAGAAGTAAATGGAACACATGTTTGCAGAATCTTAACATCTACAAATCATGATAGTCCAAGGGATGAGCAGAAGGTTTGTGCAGGACAGAAGAACCAAGCAATAGAATGTTTCGTAAGCATTGATTTTGACAATACAGGATACCAAGACAAAGAGCAAGTGATAAGGTGAAAGTCATGGATCAAGGCACAAGTGATCAGGATATAAGCAATCAATTGGAGGCCCTAAATAACCATTGCACTTAGACAAGGCACCCAGAAACCCTAAATAACTTGTTGCACTTCAGCAATGTGACTGTTAAGATAATGTATTTGTAGAGTTCTTACTTCGTTGTTCTCATGGTTCAGAACAAAGATAACTTTCTTATAAAGATAGCATTTTCCACCAATTAGAAACTTTCACTGTATTTTCACCAGTTGTTAAGGTGGGCCTTAAGTTTGGCTTTTTTCCATAAGACAAAGCAACCCTGTTTAACAGGGTTGTAGATACAGGTCACAGTTCTGAAAATAGAAAATAGACAGTTGCCAGTAGAGAAGACCCAAGAGGTATGGTACTAGCTTTTGAAGCAGAGCTGCAAAGTACAAAGATGCAGACTGCATAGAAAGCCAGTGATTTCCTTTAAGGCTAGCATGACATACACATACTTTCATTAATACCAATATGGAACTATTTGCTCATAAATTTCCAATGAGTAAGGAGCTGTGAAACATCTATGAAACATTTAAATCAGTAGTTGATCTGTCTATTTTATCTATTCCTGAAAAGCACAGACTAAAGTTGTGATTCACTATATATGCTAAAGTGAAATGCGTAGGGTGCCTGGAGTCCCCCTGTTTTGAGCGACTTCACAGAGAATGGAGGTCACTGGTCTCCAATGGCTCTACCCCTCACTGGAGATTATAGTGAATGGAGAAGTTGCATTTTGATTAGCAATACCAACTCATACCAGAGATGGGTTGCAATGATAAACTGAGAGCGCTAAGCTGATACTCTCAACTTATCACTACAGACATCGCTAGTGTGACTAATGCTGAATCATTAGCCTCATCAGCAGAGAGGACCAGGCTGTGGGCAGCCAGGGACCCTCATTCAGTATAGTGTCAGGAATATATGTTTAGCTCCCCAGCCGCCCTCTCTGTGGAGTTGAAAGGTTTTTACACTTACCTTTTCTTCCAGTCTCGTCGCAGATGGCCCCGCCTCCATGACTGAGATCATAAATCTTGTTGATCCCAGCCAATCTAATGCTTTCCCATAGAAAAGCATTGGGAAGCTAATGTGCATGCGCTGTGCCAGTCAGCATCTTTTAATAGAGATGTCGAGCGTGGAAATGCTGAGCGTAAGTGCTGCACACTGAGCAGCACTGACTCAGTGCTGCACCACTGAGCAGCACTGACTCAGGAAGCACCTCTAGTGGCCATCTGAGTGACTGCCACTAGAGGTGCAACTAGGCAGCAATGTAAACACTCTAAAAAGGCACTCTTTACAGTGCTCAGA